TGTGTTTTTCAACGAATTTCTAAACTTTAGAATCCAGTGCACTAAATTCTTCCATGATGTGCCCCTATAAAACACTCCCTATTAGATGACATCTCTTCCAAAAAGCATATTACTTTTGTGAGTGGAAACCAGATTCCACGTAAATAAAATGATTATACTTATCAATGATCAATCCACAGATTGAAAATAGTTAAATTACTATTTGTATTTTCTCACTGTGAACTACCACGGAACTTATTTTTGACAACCCTATTACGCTATGGACAGCTTGGTACAGCACCTTTCATAAAAATGCTAAATAACTTCTTATTAACTGTGCTTTTAAATACATGGTACTGAGATCTGGAAAATCAAATGATACATCCAGCATCAGTCAAACTCTGAGACCTAAAAATGAAACAGACGTTTTCAATATCACTGTAAGAAATGACATCAAAATAAAAGGATTAGAATGATTAGATAAATATTCAAGTTAAAATATCAGAGACAATGTTCCTTGGATAATTTTCACATCAAATTATCATAATATAAAATCATATTCAATCATATTCATCATATCAATCATATTCAATCAATTTATCATAAATAGAGATAGTATCCAGATAACCTATGAGAGCTAGCTAGTATCCTGAAATCATACTTAAAATTATCTATTTGCATTTCAAGATTTACACACTGAGAGTTTTAGTTTTGTATAAATATTTTATACTATTGTTCAAAGTCCATGTCCTTGATTAAAAATAATGTTTTCTCTTATTTCTGCTACAACAAAACAGATATTAAACGAGATGAATTTATAAATCCTTTAAAAGCCATGTGTCCTGTACTTGCTCAGTCAAATACTGAACAAAGATTTAGAAGTATTTTTTATCACAGATACTGCTGGCAGCAGATGAAATAGATATACTCCAAAAAAATTATAAATCTTGAATAAGTCTTTGCAATGTATAAAATGATAAAATAGTTCCAGATGAAAAATATAGATTACAATTTAAAAATATGTAAACAGCCAGAGACAAAATAGTGCATTAAAAAAAATTAAGAAGTTTATAGTAAGTTCGTGAAACAAATTCTGGAATAAGCACATTAGTGAGTTTAAGTTGGTCTAAGCTGTAAAGGAAGGAGAGAATAGCTGTACCCATCCCTCTCTTATCTTTAAGTACTAACATCAGTTTTGGCCTTTTACTTTTTGACAGCCAGCAGTTAAGCTGTATCAATCTCATGGAAAAGGGGAGGACTGAAGAAGAAACCAATTCGCAATTGCACTTACAAGTGTACATGAAATAGATACAAAATTTAGCCTCAGATCATTTGCGTTTACCTCTAAAATAAGTAAAACAATATGTAAACACTTTTATTAAAGAAACGCCTAATTTCATTTAAAATAATTGTTTGTCATCTGCATCTTTCCAAGGTAGCAAAGAAGGAAAAGCAAGCATGACGTTCATGGTACTATTTACCAATTATGAAAGGAAATTCCCATCTGAAGTGTATTGTGGAAAAGTAAAATTGATTTCTTCCTTCAGGTAAACAAAAGTAATGCTATATTCTGCCAATTTCAGGGGTGCTAGAAGAACAGTTTCACGTTGTAGTCACACATGAATGTTTTCTTATAAAAAAAAAGCTGTTATGAGAGGGTAATGCTGAAGTTCTTGGTCTGTAAGTACACAAAAAGATTCAAGTTGTTCTTTTCAGTGACATGTACAGAGGAGAAAAAACACAACCCTCTATTTGAAATGCGTTCTGGGTATTCTTAATTCTATTTCATCAATTGTTCTTCCTTTCTGAGAGTTTCCAATGCATTACTTTATATTGTGGACAAATGTCCAAGAAAGTACTGAAAAAATAAATTAGACTTTGCAACAATAATATTGACAGATACATATTTTCCTGGAACAAAACCAAAGAAAAATATTCTCCATGCACAAGTTTCTGCTGTACTAATGGGAATTCAGCATAGCACAACATGACAGATCTGAAGAGAGTGTTTTATTCCAGTATAAATGGCTAATATAGAGACTACCATACTCTTGAGGATGATACAACATGCAGTTTTATGATCACTGAATTTTTCAAAATAAAAAGAAGAAAACAAAAATTGAAAAAAAATTGAAATTGCCCTAAAAGGGAGTTATGAATTTATCCAAATAGAGGCAAATCAAGTAATTAAAAGGAAGATGTAATATAAGCTGGATTTCCTGCCTAGTGTCCTCTGACTTCTCCTGACAGAACTGTCTTGTGGTAAATGCTTGCCTAGGAATTGCTCCGTCCTCTATGCAAACCCTGTCAGAAGAAAACAACTGCTGTACAGTGGGAAGGATCACATCATTATGTAAGCTCATCTACATGCATCCTCAACAAGTCTCTAATTGCAATGACTCATAGGGAGTGCTCCAACGCAGTTAAAATCTTAGGCTAACAGCAAACAATTTCTACCAGCACTAAGCCTTAGTAAAATGTTGCTTAATCATCTTTGTTAATTTTTAATATAAAATACGGTCTTGTCATGATTGAAATATTATAGAAAATTGAATGATCTTAGGTCTGATATGCTATTACACACACAGAGCTGTGCTGTGAATTTATCTTCCACCTTAACACTAAATTCACTGACTTCGATTCAGTTAAATAAGCTCTTTCATATTGTCTTTATATAACAATTTATTAGAAAATCCATACCCAAGCAGTTATTTTCTATTAAGAATCATCATACCTAGCCATAGATCAAAACAAATTTGTTTTGTTCTCTCTTAGTCTCCTATTGGTTACTTACTTGACTACTGACAGGTTTTAGATTACCGTGTTGGAACCTATTTTCATGTCACAGCCGCAGTGCAGATACTTGTGACATACTGGTGCTGAATACTAATCACTACTACAGTCTAGGAACAATTGCCAGCTACATCACTTATCACAAGCATGAACAGAAAAGCCTTAATTGCCTTATCATGCGCTTTGTGCTTGCTGCTGAAATGGTTAGAAACCACTAGGAAATGAAAGCTTGAAAGCTGGGATAAAATAATTAAAAACCAGTAAAGATTTCTAGGGTTAATGATAAATGCATTTCCAAATGCCACTTACAGAATGTATTACTCTTTTTCATTTATACAATTTTAATGCAGCTCAAAAGAGGTCTTGGTTATTTCTATGAAAATGGAACTGAATATGAGTCAGGGATAAAATGCATTAGCAGATGTAAGGTGGGATACAGGCACTGTACAAAGCATATACTTTTCTCTTAGTTTGGATATTCCAGCTGTATCACTTGATAACATTCTCATAGAACAATTTTTGGTAAAGATTTATATTTTTTTGCTATTAAAAGATATTTAAGTTTAATATGATACACAGTAGTTTTGATTATTCAAAATTCATAGAACAGATGTAAAGTAGATACCTCTCTGATACTAATAAAAAAGCCAAACAGTATTTTCTGTTAAATAGAAGAACATATTATTTAATTCTCTCAGTAATGATCATCAGGGTAGAGTCATATTAAAAAAAAAAAAAAAAAAAAGGTAAAAGAGCAAAAAAATAGAACACCTTTTAGAAAGATGTATTTGTTCAACGTTTTCAAAACCTTCTAATTAAAATACACAAAACAATAACATTAAGAGGGAGAGAATAAAGACTGAACAGAGTAGACTGTTCATAAAATAACCCATAGTTGTTGGCAAAGATTTTATATTTGTCAGTTAAAGATGATGGAGCCAAACAACTATCGCTGGAATGGAAGCAGTCTGTTGAAGAAAGCTTTCATATTGAAGTGAAGGATATCATAACATACAGTGTTCTTATAATTCTTCTATCTGTATTGTTTCTCTCTAAATTTCATTACTCTCTGCATTAGATGTCTCTTTCAACAGCTGCATACATGTTGATCAAAAATATGACATATTGCTTTAATATGCTTTGTCCTGTTATATGTAAAATTATTCATACAGACAGAAAGTTCTAAACAGTTCATAAAATATCAGAGAATCAATAATTAGTATAAATGTTAACTTCAAGAGGAAAATAACTTGTTTTGAAGAAAATTTTTCTGGAAAACTAATTTCTGCAAGATCTGATAGAAGAACTCAGCTAACTTAAACGGAAGCTGTGTTTAAAAAACTGTTAGCATTAATTGAATATTATTTGAACACCAAATATGTTAAACTTAACAGCACATTAAAAAAACTGAATAAGATATTGAATCAGTTCTAAATAGAATAGTATGAAGTAACTTTAACAATTTTCATAAAAAAGGAAGATACACAACCATGATGATTTGTGGACATAATGAAGCAGACGTGGCTGTTGTTTTTTTCGCGGTTAAAAGAGATATAAAGGAGTGTAATTAAAATTGCACTAGAATTACATTTTACACTTTTTAAAAACTAGATGTGAATTAAAATTAATTAGATGTATTTGAGATGCTTTAAAGTGACTTAATTTTACTTCATTCTGTCAAGATATTTTCACTTAAGATCTTTTATTACACACAACAATAATTAAACATACTTAAACAATGTCCTTATGTTACTGTCCACAAACATATTTGAAAATTCTTGAAATCAGTAAGTAAATAAAATCTAAAATCTACTGCCAGGCTGATATACATCCAATTAAGTATGGTTTATGGGTAACTCCACTGTAATTTATCCAGGAAGTAAATACGTGTGTGCATATATACATAAACATACCAAGACTTGCTCTGTCTACAGAAATACCAGTATGCATCCTTACTATTTATTAACGAAATTTTAAAAATAATACTATTATACAAGATTTATAAAAAAAAAAATTTGTTTTTATCTGAGATCTTAAAGAAGACAAAACAAAAGAAAAAAAAAGATTTCCATTCAATTTACGAAATTCTAATAAGAGTTAGATATCTATGGTTATGGGTGTACACATGTGAATGAACGAATAAATCCTTAACCCACCATATCTTTTTCTCCAGTTTGCAAGCTGTCACCCGTGAAAAGTATGGTGTAGATGGTAGGATGATACTGTACCTGATTGGCTCTGGAGGTGGTCATGGGATCAGATGGAGAGGACTTGGTGGTAGTTGGGGAAGATGGCAATGTCTGGGAACAAAGCAGTTCAGGAGCAAATCAACCTTTACAAGCCTTAGACTGAACAGTTAAAAAATAAATAAACCAACAAAAGTAACATAACTACAAAATTAAAATGAATAAAAAATGCCTAAGACAAAATCTTTCTCCTACTCATTGGAACTTAATGGAATTTAAAGTCAATTGGATAAATAATGCACGTAAATATGCATGCTTATGCATGTAAAAAGAAATTCATGACTTGAAATCAAGATGGTGAACTCACATAAATACTGAAAAATATGCCAGCCACATGAGGAATATATTCTTTCCTCTCTCTTTCTCTTAAGGAAAATGAAAACCAGAAAACACAAATTCCAGCAAGTTCAATGAGCACACTAAAAACAATTATCAGCCTACAAGCAAACAGGGCCAGTGTTTGAAAGAAACTACTGAAATTTACTTTGGCACCTTATAATGCACCATTCTATTGCACGGACTATAGCCAGCAAACTGTGTTCCATACCTTAAAACAATTACACTGAAGCTACGAGCTTTCAGCAATGTAGTAATTACTAAAATATTAATTGATCATTTTTAATTGAGAGGCGTGTGAAAAAATGTAAACAACAATCTCATGATGGATGAGCATGCAACTAATACCTTCACAACAAATTGCTACAATATATTTATCATTAGTGTTAACGATCCTTTAATTGAGCAAAAGTTAATAACGTATCATCAGCCTGCGTTCAAAATAAACACAAAAAAGAATTAGGAGTCATATTTATTGATAATGTTTTCTAAATAATATACATATGCTTAACATTAATTCTTCAACATATCAAAAAAGCACTGCTCTGCTTAAAACTTTATACAAGTATCTCTTTTTAATGTATTAGATCCAGACAGAGGAACTCTTTTCTTTTAATAAATGTTATGAAAACTTCAAATTCCCACTTCCAAAATATAACATACAATACTTGTTCAAAGCATGTATTTTTGACATTTTTATAATATATAAATGATAGAAAATATTCCAAATTACACTATTTTTACTTTAGGAAGTAAAATGTTAAAATGCTGTACAACACAATGCATCATATGGACAAACAATCACTAACCAAAACTATTGAGAAATAGAAGCAAAATTTCACATTTTCAGCAGTTCTGTTACTTACAATCATCGACAGTCCCTCATAAAATAGGTATACATAATTTTTCACTAAAACTCAATGCATATGAAAAGCTGGAACACTGTGAATGCATAAAGTTATGTGTATTAGAAAAATAAGGGCTTGTACATATGCACACACAAATATTTTGTCTGCATGTTAAGCAATATGAAGATCCATCTTTTCATAGTTTGTACATAGTCAAGCAGCCAAAATAGGAACAAAAAAATATAAAGAAACAGATCCTTATTTTTGTTTCCAACTTGTAGTTTACAATATAAAACAATAAAAATAAAAACAAGATACATACAGATTCAGCATCAATTGGGACTTCCTCAAGAAGCTTAAGTAAAAAATACTGCTATGTATGAAGTACTACAAATAAATGCCTGGAAAAGTGTTGTTGATCAGAAGATAGTTTATACTTGTGAAAATCAAGACAATTATAAAGGATTCCCCCATGTCTTTGTACACAGAACATGGGTTCATTTGCAAGCAGTTATTTTAGAAAAAGAAGTGTCAAATTACACAATAGCAAAGGGCCAGAAATTTGCAATCACAGAAGCATACTTTGATTTTTGAGATCACACAGCGTATCTGCACTGATTTTCATCATTTAAGCTCAAACTGAGATGAAAAAAGGAAAGGGGGGGGAAAAAAAAAGGAAAAAAAAATAGAAACAGAATGGAAGACTGTAACTCTCCTATTTTTGGTTTTAATTACAACTTAATGTTAAACTTTCATCCTGAATTAGAATACATATATAGATATACACGTACATATATTTTACAATTCTCCAGGAAAAAAAAAAAAAAAACAAACCCAAACAAACAAAGAAACAACAACAACAAAAAGCAAGAAACAAAATGTACCACCAAGAAACAGAAAATATACTTTGACTAAAATATTTCATACACATAGCAATTTGTGTGATCATCATCCATTGCTCCTTAGGGCATACAGCAGTGTAACCAGTGTTATTATGGTACACTATGCTAATTGAAGGAAAAAATAGGCTGATAAAATGAACTTTCTTCACTGGTGTTTCTACATCTACATCTAACTATAGGATGAAAATACATGTAGTGCTTCAACACTGAATAATGACCTAACTGCCGATAATACTAGGACTGTGTGAAATTGAAGGCATTTTATTTTTCCTTTAATATTAATCTTGTTAAAGAATAAAAAATATGGCAGCAAAGAAAAGAGAGTGCTCATATTCAGTTCAGGTGAATACTGAGCTACAACATTCATTAAGTTGATGTATTTCACTATTTCATTTTAGCAAAAGCGTGTTTAAAATACAACAGAAAAAAAGATAAAAGCATTGAAAAGTGAAACAATTATATTAACAAACAAGAATAAAGTAACAACATAGACTTTTTTTTCCAAGCACACATACTGGTGACAAAATATAAGTATTAGTAGTACGTATTATTATTTTCTAAACTGGGGTGTTTGTGTTTGAGGTTTAATCTCTATTACTTTGTTTTATATTTAGAGATATATGTATGTAAGAGACACATATGTATCTAGAAATACATATATTAAAAAAACTTGACAGACTTTTGTAAAATTTCATCTCTTTTCATGCTTCTTCTTTATAATTCTGGAGAAACGTTAAATACCAGTTATCTATTAATTCCTTCAATATTGAAATAACAAAATGAGATTTCTGGGGGAAAAAAAACAAAAAAAACCAAAAAAACAAAAAAAAAAAAAAACAAAAAAAAAAACAAAAAAACTTGGACAGAGCTCAATAATTCTGATTTATTGCAGTGTAAAATATATTTTAAAAATTTGGCAAGCGTTTTTGTATTAGGCAAGCACTTTAATTTAGTAATTATTAGGCTTGTGGGAATGAGTTGTATAAATTCACATAACAGAGTTTTTGAGACTGAAACATTTGTAGTGTAATTGAAGCTCTCCTGAAATCACATCTTCCCAGGTGGCAGGTAAGTCACAATTCCTACTGAATACCACTTTTCGGAATCTTGCAGTTTTGTTCTGTTTTCCTTCCTTAAAGATTTTGCATAAGTTATGTGAGCAAACAAATAGAAGACAATATTTACAGGGAAGAAAATGCTTTTTCTTTGTCTGTTTTTTACTTTTTTCCCACTCTCTATTATAAACCTTTAGAAGAGATTTTAAGTAATAAAAAATTTTGAAGTAAAATTGAGTTGTATTTGAGTTCTCGTATTTTCCAAGTTCAAGAAAATACTTCTTCCTTGTTTTTCTCATTAAAAATGCTCTCAGGCTTTACAATATACTAAAGGTGCAGAAAGATGGCCACAGCGTGACATTTGGATGCTTTGTACTTTTAGCTTGCAAAATGAAGACACATTTGCATCACAGAAATACAGAATATGTACACTAAAACTGCATGGTGTTCCAGAAGGCTTAGTGAGACCTCTTTCCTGTAACTCTGTGAACTGTCTAATTAAGATCAACGTATAAATGACAAAGGTCACATCTTTATATATATATAAATTATATATATATATATATACACACAAACTAAGAAAAGATAAATATTGTACTGAGACTGTTAGTTTAATTCTCAATATCTATCAGTGTATTTAGTACACACACGGTTAGAAGGAAAAGGCAGAAAATGAAATATTTAGAAATTAGGTTAGAGACATGAAAGTATAAGACAAAAAAAAAAAAAACAAAAAAACATTTAAATGTAAAGATGAAAGTGCATTTACAGTTAACCACTTTCTATTTTCCCACTATAGAGCTTGCTAAACAATTTTGGTCATAACATTATTCATATTACAGTGTTATTATTACCCATCTAATAGTGTGTTTCAGTCTTGAATATAAACATTCGTGCTGGTAGATCAAATTAATTTAATGGGAATATTAATTTGCTTAAGCCAATATTTTAATACATTTTAAAGATAAGATGGTATCTTTTTGGAATATTATAAAATAGTTGAATACCTTCTGCAGCTAGAATACGGAAAAAAAAAATCTGAAAATTCCTGTTACACTGTACAACACATAAGACTGACTTAATAAGGTAGTAAATAGCAGCAAAGAGGAGCCTATCTCAGACTCCTTCTTTTGCTAAATACATTAAATTTTCTTTTCCACCTTCTGTGAATTTTTAAAACTTAAAACTTTACAAAATGATTTTCATCTGAATAACAACTGTGTAAGTAACACATTTTAAAAATGCATTTTTAAAAAAGAAATTACTGAGAACTGCTAAGTTATTTTCAAACAAGACTGTAAAAAGGCTACTTTGATAACCTAAGGGATCTAACATTACTTGCTACCTTTTCTACAAGGACCAAATAAAAACCATTCAGATTGATATTTCATGCTCTTTGCATTTGGTTTTGCTTTTGTGAAAAAGAATATCTAGAGCATAGAACAGGACAGAAAGTAAGTTAGCATATGCAGATAAAATGCTTGCTTACAGGTATGTACAAGGTAATTTCTGTGTGTTTATACACTCTTCAGGATATCTCCTTGAAACAGGAAACAAGTTGTGGTAAGTCTGATCTGAAAGAGAGCTTATCTCATATTTTGCCTTTATTGTATTGAATGAGCATAAAGCAAACTAGCAGGTGCCATTTGGATCATCAGAGCAATTCCTGGATGGAGTGTGTGATTTACGATGAAGATTACAGTGAGGTGGACAAAGAAGGACTTTCTTTTCTCAAAACTTGTCACAGTAACACAGAACTAATGTAAGATGTGGTGTTATGTAGAAATACCAGAAAATTCAAGTAGTTAACCAAACACAGGTAACGTGGACCACAAAACTTTGAGAACTAAAGGAAAAAAAAAAAATCACCTTTTGATTCTGGGCTACTTTGACATTTAGAAAAGTACGATCAAAACTGCAAAGCCTTAGAAAGCTCAAGATAATGAGAACTTCTGCAGTGCTAAATACTACTGTTCATTCTCCTAAAGCAATCTTCTTTCTTCATTCCCCTTTCGAAGCACATACAAGAGCTAGCCATCAGCAATTAATGGAACATTAATTGAGTTTAAAAAGCATTTTTATACACATATGATGATTACACTGAACACTGGTGAAATGAAACAAAATTAAAATATCATAAAATAGTGATCTAGCAGCAGAAGTCAAGTGTACAAGAGGGATAAAACACTAAGTTTTTTTGTGGGACTAGGAATTGGAATGCTGAACTTTTGCCATGGGACCTAATACAAATGACTGTCTCTCTAGTATAGGAAAAATTACTTTTGTTCATCCTGATGACTTGTAAACACACCTGCATAACATATAATTCATGGTTAAGAATGGTAATTGATGCCATTCTTCACTGGTATTCAAACCTGAGAAAGGTTTATGAGAAATTATTGAAAAGATTAAGAGACAGTGATTTACAATACAGCTTATATTCATTATTATCCCCAAATGAAAAATGTGGAGTTTTCTTATAGTCTGCATGTTAATAAGGTTGCCCTAGGTGATACACTCTTTCAGAAGCAGATGCTAAAATAAGAAAAGTTCATCACATGGGAGAGGCATTTTAAGAAACTTCTCAAATCTATTAAAGCTCTAATTTGACCAACTCATATCCAAAGCATAAAAATAAATAAATAAATAAATAAATAAAATCCTTTATTTTAACCAACATATTCTGGTGTGTACTCTTAAAGTCAGGCTCTATTTGAGCACTTAGAAGATAAGCTTTTCATTAAATCTGGTGAGTGGTCCAATATATTTTGTTGTTGATCAGAATTTCTGAAGTAATCCTATTCAAGTAGTTCTTTTCACTGGAAGAAAAAGTATGTACAAATCTGAGTTCAGATACTGAATTTTATACATTTTAAGTATAACATCTGGGAATGTGATTAATGAATGGAACAGAAGTTAAACAATCTACAACAAGTTACTTCTCTACTGAAAAAGTTTAAATAAAAATATTAATTGGAAGTTCTATATGTGAAAGCTTTAGTCCAGATTTTCAAGGAAGAACCTTTGTTGACGTTGTGATAACTAAAGACTTCACAGAATCAATCAGGTTGGAAGGGATCTCAGAAGGCCAGTCAGGATAAACTCTTCGTTATAGCAGAGTTCACTATAAGATCACATGCTCTTCCTTACGTATAATGCTAACCTCTGCAATAGCAAACTGCAGTTCCATATGCTTCCTGGGTAGGCTGCAAAAACACCTTCTACCTATAAAATAACTGCATAGCTGGAAGGAAAATTCTGTCATTGTAAAGAAGCTTCAGTGGTTTCTGAATAAGGTGATGTGATAAGACACTACAGAGTTTTCTCCCACTCTTTATAGTAGCTGCTATTAGTTTAGAGGTGAAATTTAAAGCTCTGTAAGCTAATTATGAAGCCAAAACAGCTCAGTCTCCTGAGTACTTTTATGAAAACTGCATTCTGTTCTCCCGGTTTATAACATGGTAGTACAAAGCTGGTATGATACTTCCTCTATTGGAGAGGTTAGATCCTCATAGCAGTTTCTAGGAAATAAACGAACATAGTCGGTTATTGTTGAACAGTATCTAGAAGCTACAGATATCTGACAGCTATGAAGAGACTATCTATATTTCATAGAAGTAATAGATGCAAACAGTAATGAGTTAAATATTGATCAGACCTGTTCAGGGTACAGACCTACTTGATATTTATTAGTAAGTCTACAGGGTCAGAAGATTAGAAAAAATATTGTCGAGAAGGCTCAAACTGAATCAGACAGATTTGCCTGTGAGGATTCCAACGATAAAAAGTATAAGTTAGAGAGAATGGAACATTTGGATTGCAACTTGATTTGTATAAATAAAAGCCAAGCTATGCTCAGCCTCATTGCACACCTGCGCCTTCCTGAAGACAGAAAGTTCTAAAACTTGAGAGAGGCAGCAAACAGTTTACCTACTAACATTCTTAACTGAAATCATAAACATCTCCTTTCTTTGCTTGCTTCTTATCTGTAGAGAAGTCCACAATGAGAGCTATATCCTCATACAGACACGGGTGATACTTCAAAGCCTCAAGCTATAAGCACCTTCATTCATAAGGGACAGCAGTCCTGTTGTTGTTTTTCTTCTTGCTTGTCTGCTTGAGACAAAATCAACTGAAATATGTCTAAGACCTCCAAGGGAAGGCAAAATTTATAGTTTCAAATCTAATCTTTATCTCATATGCTAAAGCTTATTTCCTCAGCTCACAACATTATACTTCAGAATACTTGAATGATAAAGTTTTTGGGTAATTCTCTAAGAGAGTAAAAGCACATAAAAAGTTTATGTAAAAGAAGAAGCTGTAATTCATACTGCTTGTTTTTCACATGTTAATAGTGATTTGAATGACCAGAATGATCAGGATAGTGTCTAAAATTTTGTCCTGTCTGTTGTAAGAGCATAGCAGCACAGAAGTTCCAGATCATGATTATCCATTATAAAATATCCTTTTACATTTCTTAAATAGAAGTAATTTCTATTTCATTAAGACAGTCGACATTCTGACAGCGGAGTATACTTCACTATAAACTCTATCTAACAACTAAGCTAATAATTTCAAATCTTGGTTAAAAAAAAAAACCAAAAAAACCCCCAAAAAACAACAAAACAGAATTAGACTTACACTGTCAATATTTATATATTAGGAAATTATCATGAACAGATGTAACTTCCTTAAAACAAAATTAAAACAATTTACGTAGTTGAAACTGTTCAACATATGAACAAGCATATCTGCAAATGATAGACAGGTGTTCACCTGTATGTGCACAGATGATATGTTTAAATTATAAAATGTGGAGCCAGAAAAAACATACTAGAATCATGTAAGAAATATATTGTATTCAGCCTGTGTCTAGACTTCAGTGGTAGCAGCTCTAATATCTAAACCATCACTCCAGAAGTTAACATTTCAAGCATGGAATCAAATGAATAAAAGTAAATAAACAAAAAAGAACCAAAAAAAAAAAAAAAAAAAAAGGAAAAAGAAAACAAAAATACAATGAGAACTAACCACACCACCACCAACTTCACAAGTAGTTTTCTTTAGAACTAATTCCTCCTCAGCTTCTGTGTGGAAAAACTACATCAAATTGAGAAACAAGACAGGAAGCATTAAGGAATATCACTATGCAGCTCTGTAATCTAGTTTCTCAGTAGTGACTTGAAAAGAGTTTCACTTACATTGCAAAGTGGAAAAGCACTTTTTACAGCAATAAATAAAATTCATTTCCCACTTGGTTAAGAGGTAACGGCATAAAATCTAACATTCTACAGGATGAAAAGACATTTAAAGCACAGATATGCTCTTCAGGTTTCTCTCTCTTCCTCTCCTCTCCACCTCAGGCACAAACATTTTCATGTCTAATAACTGAGAGACTAATTCTAAAAATTGAGGCTTTTCATTTTAGTATTTTCTTATAAATTACCTAGAGGGTTTTTTGTTTGGTTTCGTTTTTTACTGCAAAAGTATAACATGTAGAGAAAATAGTAGTAATAATTAGAAATCACATACAGTGGCTTGGCACAGTTTCATCCATTTAAAACAGTGTGTTCATTTACCACATCTTCATTTATACGTTCTGTGTATGGCTTTACATAGAAAGTAAAGTAATTGCAGTTACTAAATTACTTAATAGGACACTGAATCTAGTAGTAGATTCAGTAGCTAGTGTAGAGGACCAAACAAACTTATCCTACGTAGAAAAGGTGAGAAACTAATGTTCACTCATTTCCTTCTTCACCTTTTTCTAATTCAATAAAATGGAAAATAATTTATTTAAAATTTTATGTGACGAATTCCACATTCTCCTTATAGAAAATTATTTCTTTAAAATTAGAATTGTTTTGGGAATTACAGTGAACCAGAAAAAACACTAATCCAATGATATCTTGAAAAAATATTTTGCATGTCCTATAGATACTGAAATAAGACAATATAAAACAGGCAACAAGATGCCAAAAATAACAGAAAATGAGTAGTAGATAACATCCCAAATAAGTTATCTTTATATTTTCAAATTCTCACATGTAGTATTTTTAAGTATATATTTAAAGGTCTAAAATACAATTAACATTTTTGGGTTTGTTTTTGCTTTATTTAAGATACATGAAAATAGTAAAAATTCTTTTAATTCTCTAAAGATTTACAAGAGGCTCATATTTTTAATTTTAAACTTTAGCAATCCTTTTTAACTAAAACCTAGATGTGTATTATTGCCTAATACAGTAGAGAAGAGTTTACGAAAGAAACACATTAGAGTCTGAAATTTGTAAAACACTAAAAGAACTGCTGGGAAACTTGGAACATGCAGGCATAAAAAAGAAGTGGACTAGCAATTTAGTAAATCACTAAAAAGGAAAATAACATGTTCTGAAGGAACATATTTTGTTCACCCTTTGCTGCCTTAAAATTTTAAAGCTTCTGAAAACAGAAGCTAATTCTAAGGAGTTGATGTGACTCTCTATTCCCAACCAAAAACTCACTTGTTTGATGCGGTCTGGATTGACAGTGGTCTGTGGCTGTAGGATGCTGACAGGCTCTGTCTTGGCCACATTTTGAGGCATTTCTCGAATCTTCTCTGCAATGAAGCCATGAACTGCATTTAGTGCTTCAACTGTTCCCTGGATCAGACACACCCGCTCTGTAGTACCTGAAAGAAAAAAGTTGATCAAATGGGTTTGTCAGAACTCTCAAATCACTTGAATTATGTCATAAAGATGGTGCTCAAAAGCAGTCTTAACAAAACATCTAGCAGTACCTCAGTAAGTATCTTAAAATGTTTTAAGCAACGCATATTTATGTGGACTCCATAAACATGTAACTTCCCAATCCAGTCTGGACAAAAGACGATTTGTAAGCAATTCGAAAAACTGATTACTGGTAAACTGATTACATTCTGAGCAGTATACTACATCTGTGTCAATACATTTGTCAATATATAGCAAAAAATTCAGAATATTTATGTGACGAGTTATAACAGGTTTTCAATACATCATCTTCAAAATATGATTCTATTTTTTTTTCCCCAAATAACACTAATAAAGAAGGGGGTTGAATGACATAAGTGGAAGCGACCACTGTAAATGAAGCTTGTTTCCTGCATGTAGCTTTCTTGATGCCTACTTTTCTACATGGATTCTTCCTCCCCTCAGAAACAACTGTGGTTTTTATGTAAAGCAATCCAGCTCTAAGAAAATGCTCTGGGGAGTCTTTACACTGCAGTATTAATTGTCTCCTAAATGATGAGATGTGATGTGGATTGATCAATGCAGCTAATGCAAGTGTTCTCTAGGTCAGCAGACAACACATTGAAACCAAACATAGATCAGGTTACATCTAAGCTACTGGAGTCTGATGTGGAAAGCACTTAACAAGGATGACTGCTGTCAAAACATATGAAAGGAGAACAGCCACTGCTAAACAGGAATTTCATTGGACTTGGCAGTAAGTGACTAGAGGGTAAGCTACTGTCTGTGTTATTTTAGAACACACAACAGAGTAGACACACATTTAATCATACTACTTAGTCCAAACAACATGCATTCTAATACGCATAAACCAGAAAGCAGTAAATGGGCATCACTGCTCCATGAAGAAAGAGAATTGTGCAAATGCACACTATACATAGAGTAAGATACAGCTTCGGAACATGTTGTTATAGCAGTCCATTTTCTTTGAAGGTTAGGTCTTAGAATTTCTAACGAAATAAATGAAAAAAAAAAAAGTTGAAAAGAATAGGGGTCTGAAAAAATTGTTCACACACACACAGCTGGGAAATGCTTTAATCTTTTGAAGCAATGTTGTCATATTCCCTCATTTAAGTCTAATGGCTTTTCACTCAGATAACAGTGTACAATCATTTGCAAGAGTCACACATGAAAAACTATCAGACATGACCAACCTGCACAACAAAAATAAACCTATAAATCACTGAAGTTGGTAAGATCTGTCATTTAAAAAACTTCTAGTCCCAATTACTGTCTAACACAAACCATTACATTATTATTTTCAGACATTTAACAAGCCCACTGCAGGTTTCTATGAAAAAAAGAACAATTCAGCCAGCAAGACTTCATATAATCTTCAAAATTTGTATTAAAATTACAAATCTCATTCTTGAAACAGCTTAAAGCTTGAAAAACAAGCTACCAAATGTGTCTTTATGGATTATTTTTTTTGTGTGCAGACTTTGCCAATATATTTTTTAAATAAATTACACATAAATTCAGAGTTGTTGTATATGATTAATTTCCTTTTACATATAAGAAGAAAAAAAACATATACAAGTGAAGAATAGCTTTTCCACAGAAAAATAATAAATGCAGATTTGGTGGTCATCATCTGCAAGTTATTTATGCTCATCAAAAATATATTTATAAAACTAACACAGAAAAAGGGAATTTGAATCAAACAAACAAAGGTTTTTGTTTGTTTGCTTTTAGGAGGCAATTTATAGATCCTAACTTTTGAATATGAAAACAGATATTGAATTAGAAAAAATCTCTCCACAGTTCCACAGGGAGAGAACTAGCAGACACCTAGCATTAGCAGACATCAACCTTAAAAGTAAATAAACAAAATCCTGCTTTGATATTCACTTAAGTTAGGTATGCCTAAGAGCTTAAAAGATTGCATTAACTTTTATCATTCATTTTCCTTCTGACCCCTTTACCTACCTAGAACTTCACTTCTGGCAAACACCCTTTCACAACTACCTCCTATAATATAAAGTCCATTTTAAATGCAGTTGTGAAACTTCAAACTCTCACAAAACAAGCTTCTTATCTAAGAAGGTTAATTACTTATTAATCAACTGATACAGCTTTTAAAACAAACATTAAAATAAATGCAGGATGCAATACGATGAAAGAAGCTAAGAAACTTCATGCTTGCATTGTTATTTGTATTTCTAACAGGCATACACCTATCTATACTAGGTACTATTATGCTTTAAGTGCTTCCTTCAAAGTTCTGATTCAATAAGTGAAAGTTCTACTGCATTCACAACATTCACTAAAAAGTAAAATATGCTTCTGTATTTTGTGAGCCTGAGTAAAAGTATTTTGGGAAACACATTGTACCTTTCAGAAATGAATGTCTGGCTTTTCTGTGTTTCTGTATATTTTTTCATTGGGCTTCTGAATCAATCTTAAAGAGCCTAATGCACTTCCAAGAATAAGGTATCCTCAATGCATCTACTAATTATATCTTCTTATACTTTTCCAGAGTACCATACCAATTTGACTGTGAAAAGTAAAACCTGACAGAGGAGCCACAGCTAATAACTAATGGAAAGGCTAAGTTACAATCTCTCATCAACTAAATTGCATTAAGGTTTTTATTGGATAAATCACAGTACAACTGTCTACTACCCTTAGCATCCCAGGCATTTATTTTTCTGACCAATGATCAAAAGGCCTGTACAGTGGGGTTCTAACACAGCTAGGAAATGTTTCAGCCTGTTACTTACCTCACAAAATTTGGTAAAATATGACTATGCCTTGACACAATTACTCTGGCAATATAAAATAAACAGTCTTTTGTAAATTGCCAGTAATGTCCTTAACATAAACATTCTTCCTTGTCTATAACATTTCCTCTCTGCAATTACATAAAATCTCAATAAATAAAACCAGACAATGAAAAATATGTTTTACTGAAATACATTAGTAATATTTTGTACTTTCAAGAGATGTAAGAGACTTTTATCAGATAAGTGACAAAATGCACATATCCTTAAATGTAACAAGTCACATATGTGCAAAATGTCAAAGAAAGTTCAAGAAGGCACTCTTCTCCATCGATAACTCTCTTTGCTGTACTTGTATTCTCAGTTCTTGAGGCAGCTCTAGTTGTTATTAGTTGAGAACTCATTCCCATCTCCATCACAGAAAGACATCTTTCTCAACACAAGCCTTGATGTGCTAATAGACTTCCCTGACTAGAAGAGGCAACAAGGGCTGGCAGCAATACTAACACTCCCATGTTCTGCATTCATTTTGATTCAGACAAAATAATGTGGGAACTGTTTACACAAAACACATACCAAATTAGAGACTGAAACTTAATATTGCCTGATAAAGTAATTAAAGTAACAGACTCAAAGAGAAAAATCTAATTGAAGTAATCTGTGAAATCAAAAAGAAATAAGTACAGCCTGAAGGAAGCTTCTTTATGGCTCTTTCATAAAACTAGGGCATACTTAACTTAGATACAGATTATCAACCAGACACATTTCGCTTAACTAATGCTCCATTCTTCTTTAACAGAGAGATAAACAGATCCCTTTACTGTTTCTCTGCAATTACACCTTCTGAAATTCCAACTATTAACATTTTCTGCAGCTGATACTTCACATCAGTCAAATGTCTAATAAAAAAGTTTAAACATGTACGAATAACAGTTTGTTTCTTGAAATGTGATGTTAATCAAGTGCAATCAATGATTGTGATTTGCTAAAATCTGGAAAACTGAACATTAGAAATATCAATCTTCCAGTATTTTCTTATCAGGTGTCCTGACATTCACAGGAAGCTTTAGCAGAAACAGGTTACTGCTGAGCCCTTACTGATCATATGCAGCACATCAGTGTGGCCAAAATGGTTAGCTAACTAGATTTCGGAAAAGGCTATTTTACTTAACTGTAGATCCCAAACTCAATCCTTTCCCAGGTCTTCACACAGATTTATGACAGGAAAAGGAGCATTCCAGAGTGCGCACCACTGTGCCCGACTGCACTTTCAGTGGGGTGTAAGAGAATGCCCCAGTGTGATGTGTAACTTCACCACCACAAAATTAGGACAGAACACTACATTTGAACACAAGAGAATCAGTGTGAGGCAACACATAGTCACAAGATATGTCAAAATAAATGCTAGTCAAAATAAAATGATAAAATTTTATTCTATATAGCGATGTTGAAACAAGACAGACTCTCAGATACACTGCTATGAGTTCAAAATAAATCAGCTGTCTTAGTAAGTGTACACAGTCTCCGCAACTTCATTTTGGCTTTTTCTCAAAGTACACAACACAGCAAGATGATAGCTTGAGTTACTCAATTTGCATATATACGGTTGCATCTAGATAAATGTGGCTAGCCATGAACACATGTGCACATACACATTAATATTCACATACTATTTATTTTACGTGTACTGAAAGTTACCTCAAGTACAATTTAGGTAATGAAATGAAACAAAATGAAAACTGCTTCATAGCACCTGAATTTTCATATCTATATGAAAACTTCATGTTCAGAAGTTGCGATCAGGTCACGAGTGAATTACATGAATCTGGGTTTGGTGTACTAATTAGTATGAACTGAGAGACTATTATTCCCCTGCCAGAAATTAAGAAATTAAAGAGATCATAAAATTAAAAAACAGGAGCACCGCACAATTGACAAAGGCTTTGAGGAAATGGAGAGACATCTTGAAAGCAAACAGTCCCTTCTATACAAAATGTTTTGTTGGCTATCAGCTAAGGATATCATGCTAATTTCCAAAACATTAAATTTTACAAACAAAGATAAGGAATTACTATAGTTATTACACTGTTGTAATCCTTGTTTACTGTCTAACATAACTACTTTCCTCTGCTTAAAATTCTTCTAATAAAAAAACTGCAGATTTCACTTTCAAAAGCTCA